TTCTGATAGTTTCAGAAGAAAATCTGGAAAAAAAACTGCTTCATGTAAAGATGGAAATGTAAAAGATTGAAATTCTCTGTGTGGCATTGTTTATATATTTGTTTTGATTCCATCTTGTTCATCTACTGTAAAGACCTGATGTCATTAACAAAAGAAACAACTTCCTATGCATTGTAGGATGTCAGATGTTCTCTCCTCAGTGGGTATACATTTGTACTTTTCTGGTCACTGTCACCCTGGGAACTCTCGGTGCTGCTGTAATAAGTACTAATGCTTAGAGCCACTTGAGTGGAAGCATTCTGTAGTTGATTATAAGAATAAAAAGGGGGGAGGGAAATAAAAGTAGCAGATTGGGGAGAAAATACTGAATACAAGCAGCTTTTGTTTATGAGGAAACTTGTGACCTGCTATTATTTTGGCAGTATGAGAGGATCTTTCACTTACTAGAGAACTGCTAGCATTTGCAGATCTGCAGTAAAAACACTTTGCTGATATAGCTGTAACGTGCTAGAAACACACACTGAGTCCACAGTGACAAACTTTGCTTTACTGGCAAAGCTGTCCTGTATGTGATCTTCTGGTGTTACAGAGCACAAACACTCTTCCCTCTGATATAAGTCAGCTGCAGCTGAGTTATGCTAGAAGCTTTTGCTAGCAGATATAGCACTTCTTCATTCCCCAACATATGCATATATATATGCACACTCTGAAAGAAAAAGAGGATTGTACAGTGGTGCTGTGGCCTGCAATACCACTGCTGCCTTGTTGCCGTGACTTTGGTAATAATACCTAGTAAGAACATCATGTAAACTTTTTTTTAAATTTGAAAGGTGGCAAATGATCAACAACTTAGCAAATACAGTTAGTAATCTCCTGTGCTTCTCTATACAAACAGAGATTTCCTGACAGTACTGTGGGAGAATGTGTGTGTTTGGGGCTAGGGGATGTGAATTATTTTCCTTCCAAAAAAAGTAAAAAATTCAGAAGGCTTTGCGTAAACACTGGGTGTTTGGTATGTCCTAGTGAAGCTTTGTACCACTCTCCACCAGGTTGCACAGAGCTTGCTTCTCTCTGCTCAAAGTGCTGAAGAGCAGCTGTTCGGAGTCTGCCATCTGCTGCACTACTCGGCTTTCTCAAAGCTGCTGTAAGCTGTGGGCACAGAGCACAACAGAAAGTCTGTCATCTGTTTTCAAGCCTTTGAAAAAAGTGTAGTCATAGTTGAGGCTCTGAACAAGATGTGGTGGCCTGACCTTTGATGCTCTGGATGCTTCCCCCATGCCCACAAAGCTGTTTACTAGAGATTTCTGAATATACCCTCTTATATTTGAGGGGAAGAAGAGGTGGAGGCATCTTTGAACTGGTGACTTGTTTGCAACGCTCACTGCAAGTGTACTGGGGATTTAATGACCCAAATGAAATCAAATAAGAAGTGATCTTACTAGGGTTTCTGCTTCCTGAAGGAACATAAATGAATACACTGTGGCTGTGATGGCATGACAGCTGGTCTTTTAAAGTGAAAGAGAACTAAATTGTATTGCAGAAGAGAAACAAGGTGAACAAGAAGAGAATTAAGTTCTGTTCTGTAACTCAGGCCAAATCTAAAGTATGCAAAATATCATAACTGCTTTCTACTTCCGTCTGTAACTTTATTTTGGCCCACAGGTATGTATATCAACACAAGCTTTGCATAGCTCCTTTTAACAATACTGTATGTGTCCAGTAGTCCAGAATCTTTCAAGGGGGAGGATGGCATATAAATTTAAGTGTGTTCTTTATTAGCATAAGTATTGCTTTACTCTTAACTTACCACTTTTATCTAATACTCAAGTTTTTAAAATGAGGCTTATATTTTACCATGAAGTCGCTGGATGATATGAAGTCCATGCTCTAGCCACTGGCGATCCGACTTTAGCTGGTGGTGAAGCTACAATGCCTCATCTGCACTGTTACAACACGCATTAATTCTTTTTAAATATTTTTTTTATTGTGGTCAAAACACACCCTTTTTGTTAGTAAAGAAATAGCCTGTGGCAAAGAAATTCTATGTCTGTTTACTACTAGCCTGTGTACGCTGAGGCTAGGTAATTAGTGTTGCATGTGTCATAGAAACGGGGCTGACACGTTTCTTCTAAGTCTTTAAGAGAAGGTAACATCCTTTCCATGTAGCACACCCCACCAGCTTCCCTCTTCTTCCCAACACAGTTGTTTTCCCACTTAGGAAACAGCTACAGTAATTCTTCTGATTCATGAAGATTAAATTATGCTTGGTTCAGCCTGTCAGCAGGGTGTCTTGGGCTTCTTTGAAAGGAAGATTTTAACAAAAAGTGACATTCTTCTTTGCTTACAGAAAAGGTTTGAAGTCTGTTACGGTAACTGCAGTGGGCTTCTACTTTTACCCTGGTTGCCATAGGTACTGTGTCTGCTTCCAGATACTCTCTAGCCAAGTGAGACCTTGTAGCTCTCAACTAAAGAAGCAGTTCTTACTCTTCTTTAATTATATGTTTTGTTAACTCTTGAAGTCCCTGGTTTAGAGGATGAAATTAGAACCAGTAAACATTGAAACTGAATGGAAGATACCATTGCCTTGGAGCTCCATTTACCTGAGCTTGAGTAAAAAACAGGCTCACCAATATGGTAGTACTAGTATTAAGAGTTCATAAAGTAACTGAGAAATATGTTCTGTTTGGAACTGAGGCTGAATGAGCTAAATAGGTAGGGTCATTTTGGGGGCTTTTATCTTTTGTCAACATGTCAGAATCAACTGCTCAACATTGTTGCTGACTGCATAACAAATAAATCCCAGTGAACAACCATTTTCTCTGTATAGATTTGCAAAACTGTGGAGCGGGAGGAAATACATAGGAAGCAAAGCAAAGCTGAATGAAGCGTATCAGTACTGAGGAATCTCTGAATTTCCTTTTTAGGAACTGGGTGGTGACTGGAAAAAGTTGAAGGATGTGACATAATAACTCGTAAACCTCTTTGTTACAGGCATCCTGTAAGCAGAGGTTTATACAGGACTTGTGAATTATAGCACTTAGCTTTTGTTTAAGCTTCTTTTTATGGACCCAGTTCAGCAAGTCAGGGCTCTGCAAAGCAGAAGTCTACGAAGTTTAAAATCAAAGTATTAAGCCCTCTTCTGATGCCAAGCTGGAAACCCAGGCTAGATTTGAATTTTTCCTCCAGCATAGCAAAGAAATTCTGAAGATGACTGAAGCTGTGGCTATCACTGCATTTAAATGCATAGCTCTTTCACTTAATATTTCTTGGAGCTGAAACCTACTTTAACTAAAGCTTCTGACTTGCAGCAGCATCAGCTACATATCTGACATAGTGTGGCTTGTATTTTCATATTGCTTTCTTTTCCACCTGTACAAACAAAAACAGGAAGCAGGATTTTTTTGAGGGTTTTGCCGTATCTGTTTCAGATGTATTTCTTGCCTGACCTTTTAAAAGGTTGCCTGTTAGTGTCAGAGTGATTATAAGCAGGCACTGTTACTTTTAACTTGGGTAGGAAAGGAACTAACTCCCCTAAACATATTAGCCTTAGAAAAGAAATAAAAGGCCAATTTCTGGCTTCCCTTGATGTGATATGACTGCAGCTAGCACTGAAAGGACTGCAAACATGTTGCCATCTATTTGAAGTACCAAAATGACTCATTAAAGTAGGCCATCACTGCTACAGAATGCGTAGCATAAAACACGCTTCTGTTAGCAGCCTGCTGACTACACAATGCTTTCTGTTTGCTGCCACAGGAGGTACTCGTACATGGCTGTGAGGATATGACAAGGCCTCTCTTTCAGAAACACAATGGCAAAATGCATTTCAGCTTGTTGTTGCTGGGATCTGAAACCTCACAGTTTTCCCCTCCCTGCTCTTCTGTTCGCACAAAACCAGTCGTCTCTGCTGAACATCTGCAGAGACTAGTTGCTTCCACCATTTCTTACTCCGTAGCCAACCAGTTTTATTCAGGACTTTCTAAATGTTTCTTGGCAAAACAAAGTCTTGTCCTTGACTTGCTGCAGGTGCCTTAATGTGCTACTTGCTTTGCTTGTATAATTTGATACTTTATGGGTATCAAACACTCCATGAACAATGGATAAAATGCTTTTTATGGACGTCCACGCTTATTCTTCATTGTGCTCATAGAAAATGTCAGGAATGTGTGTTATGTACTGTAATTATTAGTGCCTGCCATGGGAATATAGTGAATATAAAAGAGTTATTTTCTAGTAGCCCCATTTTAAAGTTGGATGGGGCTTATTTGTTTACAGATTCAAAAGCATTATAGCAAGTGTGTGCTTCCTATCAAGAATGCAGCTTCCATAAAGGGTTGAGTGAAAAGGAGAGGGTGTGTAGATTGTGTAGCATTATTGTCTTCTGGATGCTTACCTAAAAGCTTCAGCTGAATCGCAAGTCTTGGAGTCTTTTCTTATCCCAGTCCCCAGTGCCAACTCTGCACCTTCTTCCTGGGTGATTTCTTTGGGGAACTTCCATTCAGGAGAAACTGAGTGTTAAAGGTCTGTAGGTTAGTACTGAGCATGACTTTCTTTGAGGAGGGAAGGGAACTGGAGTCTCAGTAACCTTTTTGGAGATTCGCATGTACCACAATGCAGAGATTCTGATACTGTCTGTGGAGAGACAGTTGACTGTGAGCAAGAAATGTTGTGTAGTGAGTAGAAACAAAATGTTTGTGTTCAGAGGCTAGAACTGAAGGTAGCAGTTCCCATCTGAGAGCTCGAGAAAAGGAGGTACCATCTGCGACTGGAGTGTGAGGCAACAGTTTGAAAACATGATTCATATGCTTCTTCCTCCTTGCATTCTCGAGAAAGCAGTTGTCCAACTGAAGATCTTACTAAAGATTTGTATGAATAAATATTGAACATACGGTTTCCTCTACTAGTTCACTAATGAAATTGGAATTATTGATTGTGTGTAATGCTTTCTAATTCTGAGGTCACCAGCCATAAACAGTGAGGTTGTAGCTCAATTTAAACTAATGCAGTCTATTTTGCTTTCCCTTCCTTTTCTTACCAGCAGAGGTGTTTCACCACTTCTTGCAGCATCGTTGATCCATGCTGCAGTTGATGAAGTCCTCCAAACAGATTTGACTGAATTTAAGCAGCAAAGTGTGGAAACAGAGGGAGAAGGAGATGAGGAAAGGTTCACCTGTAAGTATACTTTTTTTCTTCTGTGGTTTTCCCAGAGGCTGTCTGTTGGAAGACTTCAGTGTTTTGAAATGTTTCCCAGAATATTTGGTTAGGCTGTCTGGCAAGCAGCAGTGAACAGAACTTTATTTGCTCCTGCTGGGTATCTGTGGGATGAAAGGTAGCTATGCTAGTTTTGTGGGCAAGATGCAAACGTGTCTGGAGCCCTGGACTGATCGTGTGGGTTGGCTTTCTGGAAAGGGAAGAGAGTTTCTCTTCCCAAAAAGAATTAGTGACTGTATCCACTGTGCTTGCTGAACTGAACTAGTTAAGAACTTTTCCTCACTGGATAATTTCACTTAAATTGAACTGGTTCAGTTCCTATCTTAAGTTGATAACCTCTTACATTTTTGAAGTGCCCTTTTCTCTTTGGTAGACTGACCTTAGCTAATTACTCCTATGTTTTGTCATTGACATCATCACAGTTGCTATTATGCAGCCACACTGACACCTTAAATTCATCCATATAATCCATCTTGCTTTTGTCAGTTCTTGGGAACCAGATTTTGAGACCTGTGGCCCCTCCACTACCTGAACATCTTGAAACTCTAGATCTTCCTCTTGGCAAGTTTCTCAATAGTCTCTATCGATTATTTCTTTGCTTCCCACCCTCCGCTATAAAGATGGGATGCTGAGGGATGAAGAACCTGATGTGTGTGTCTTCTGTCTGATGCCTGCATTTTCTCCTGAGTGAATTGGAGAGAGAACAGACCTTGGTGACTGAGTACTGGGTTTGTGCCTTGTGTAACAGATGGTCCTATTGCATTTACATGCTGAAGTGTTTAACATTAGACTTCACCAAACCTTCAGTCCCAGTGCCAAGAATTTAAGTGGAGCAGGATGCAGGCAGAGTCGAAGATAAAAACGGAGGAGAGATGTCTTAGGCAAACTAGTCTATCCTGTAAGGGGAAATACTCACCCTGCCATTTCCCTGGGATGACTTGAAAGGCGGTTCAGCGTGCCCCAGAGGACGCGTCTCCAAATAGGGCTCTGGTAATGGCCAGGATATGACTCTTCCCACAAGCCTATTTCAGTATTCGCCTACAAGTCTGAAACGGCAGGAGGGGGAACACATTTAATTAAGTCTCGCTGCACCCTGAATATTTCATCCCTTGCCTTAATGTTTGTAGCCTTCACATGGCTGGAGAGATTTAGCAAGTTTCCAGCACTTTGCATGGCAAGAGTCGGCTTTGTATCAGCTTGGCTGGGGTCTAAACACCGTGCCCTGGCCCTTCTCCCCCGGCGCAGGGAGGAATGATTCTGCCTCCAGGGGGAACGTGAGCGGCGGCGTGCGGGACACCGGCACACCCGCCTCCGGGGCGGGGCCGGGGCGACGGATCGCGCCCTCTGCAGCCCCCCGGCGGAGCTGCGGCTGGGGCTGGGGCTCCCAGCACCTCCGCATAGAACCAGCTTGCGAGGGACGTCCCGCAGGCCCGCGGAGGTTCTCGCGGGTGCTTCTTCCAGTGCAGTCTCCCCAGAGCGCCCTGTTTCTGCACTCCGTGTTCTGTTGTGTCTGTTGGTCTGTGAGCGGTCACACGGACTTCACTGCAGCTAACCTAACCTGGAGCAGGACTCCGCCTGAGACGAGGAGCTGGCAAATAGGAGCTTTGTGTGACTAGATCACTGCAATTATAAGATAAAGAAGTACAGGCAGCAGTGCTAGAGCATGGCTTTGTGCAGGGGAAGCTGAAGGAGATCAAGGTACTGATCTGCCATTACTAGAAACTCCCTATTATGTTTGCAGCAATGACTGTCAGGCATGTGGTAAGATCTCCCGTTGTCAAAAGTGATATAAAAGCATCTCCATTATTGTCTCCCTTACATCAGAGAGAATTGTATCTTACTTACAGTGTTGTGATTTTGTGCTCCAGGAGTGTATATTTGCTATCGCTCAACCTTTGCAGGAGAATGAGGAACAGCATATTGTAACCCAAGTATGATAATTACATAGGTTTTCAGCACAAATATTTCACAAAGCAGTTGGAAACTGGTCATCCGAGCATCTTGAAGCCACTCTGCTGGGGACTCTTCATTGACTCCCATGTAATTATCTTCGAGGTGAACTGTAGCAGTTATACAGGATGTGAACTGCTGTGTGTTTGTGAGCCTAGAATTGTAATTCCTGGTTCTAGGTCTTATGAAAATCTTGGGCCCACGGACCTTCAGTTAGTGAACCTCATCTGAATGGCTGAGAAATTATAATATTTAGAAACAGTGAGTAATGAAGAGCTTGATAGGACAGGGACATTTTCTTGGTCACAAGCATCTAATGTCTCTGGAATCCTGTATGGTTACATTATACCGGTGACACCTGTACAATAATTCATGCCGCTGTTTTACTCTAAAGGCCATAAAGATACAGGATTGGAGTCTACTTTTAAGATGGCACAGGCAAAGTCACAAAATCCTTGGATGAGTTCCATCTTCAACTAGTTCAGTTTCTCTCTCGGTACTCCTTGTTAACAAATGCCCCAGAACCATGCCTGTTCTCATGGTTGAAACCATCTTTAATCTCTGTGTTATATATTCCTGTCTATTTTATCTTTGTTCATTCTTCTGTCACCATTGTCTTTTAGATCAAATCGCTATTTACCATTCCCCTATCAAACCTTATGGAAATCTGCTTACTATTACTTGTATTGCCTAATCTCAGCCAGGAGTATCTACTTTAAATGCATTAGTTTCTCTGCATGTTTGGACTGTATTTGTTTTCCCTATCTTGTAATTGCTATTGCATCACTTTAACTGTACAACTAGGAAGGAAGATGTTCCTTGTGCTACAGCACAGTGTGGACTCTCTTCCTGCATTGCAATTATAACTCTCTGGCAAAAAAAGCATTTTTGGATTGAAAGAGAAGTAATTATATAAAAGCAAGTTATGTACGTGTGCCTATATGAGTACCACTGTTTGATGTGGTATACTGCAGAAGAATTTCTGCTGTTAAGGTTCTAAATTCTATGTCAGATTTCACAAGCTTAATATTTAAACAGCAGTGTGTGTCCAAGTCTTCTGGTCAGTATTAGTCAAGACATTTACAAATATGTAAACTAATAGCTGTAGACAAGACTGTCTAAGATGCTGTCCTATTTAATTATATTTGTATATGGGATGACTTAATATTTAAAGGTTTTAATATCTTGCCTATTCACACCTGCATATTAAGCAAACCAAAAGTAGTTTCAGTTAATATGTAGTGACTGCTAATCAAAGATCTGTGTTTAAATTTAAGCTCTCAATTCTCCAGGCCCAGAGATGCATCTGAAGCTGGCCATCCAGTGTTGCTGAGAAAAAGAAATGCTTGAGAACCGGGAGTTATGAAAAGGAATTCTGAGGAACCTTTAATGCTAGCAGTGTTAGCAGGAGTCAGGATAAAATAGGAAAGATAGTTCATGCACTGCAGTCCTTTAGGAAACACATTAGTGACCAGCAAATTATTTTTGCTCTGTAGATGATCTTTTCAATGCTTTTTGAAGTTAGTTGATTTAGCATTGAGGCAGGGTTCTTAAACAACAAAACTTTAAATTATTACCTATTCTGAGAGAGACGCGTTGCAAAGCTAGACACAATGCCAAACACCAAACCATTCAGTCTGATGAACAATAAGTTTGGATTAATTGATCTTTGGGACCTATCCAGAAAAGGATTTGAGTGTCTGGCTGGAGCTTTTCACACTATGCTCAATGGGTGTTTACAGTTCTGCTCTGTAATGACAAAGCAGGAAAGTGGCGGAAGTGTTCTTCTGTCCCTCTAGCTCCTACAACCATGTGTATTTAAAAAGATAAAGACAACAGCTTAAAACTCTAATCTGTTTAGCTCAGCTATGAGTTGAGCTATTGACCTCAGCAAAACATTCTCAGACTTCCTTGTTTCAGTGGAAGTGGTTCAGTAGGACATAACCTGACCCAAAGCCAGGCTAACGCTTTTTCAACCCTTGTGTCCAAGACAACAGCAATCTCTTATCTTGAAGGCTTTTCTGCCCACTTGATTATTTCCTTTTTTTGGTGAGGGGAGGGGTGCACTCCCAGCACTATTAACTTGTGCATTTTACTTACATAGTAATTACGTTTATGTCTAATATGCCAGACTGATTTGGGCGTCTTTGTTATGATTTTTGCAATATAATCACCTACTTGATAAGCATCTGTTTTGAAAGAGAACTAGTAAGCTTATAAGTAAAGAAGCTGCTCTTATCCTTAATATTATGCTGTTTTCCATTGCAACTTTCTCTCCACATTATTCTCAGGAGCCTATTTTAATTCTTGCAGAGCCTGTAAAGGCAGAGTGCTGAACGTGTGTATGTAGCTCTAAGGAAAGAAACTTGAGGGAAAGACAGACCAAAAGATGGGGTAATGTAGGAAAATGGGGCACACAACTTACTGTTTTGTCTTTGTCCTGTCAGTGCTGGATGGAGAGTCATTGCAACGCTGCTTCTTTAACAAGCTTCGGGATGTTTGCTTTGAGTGGCAGAAGCAGTTGCCACCACTGAGACCACTGAAGCGGTTCCTGCTTGTTTCCATCCATGCCATCCGTAACACTCGACGGAAAATGGAGGACCGCCACGTTCTGCTCCCAGAGTTCAATCAGCTGTTTGGTTTATCAGTAAGTCTGGACAAAATCGGGGAGGCCAGTTTGTTAGCTTTTCAACCTTCCTGTAAACACAATGACGTAGTGATGGATGATCTGTGAAATGGTAAGAATTTGTTGCCACAAGTTATTTATCATGTCTGTGCTGGAGCAAGGACTTACCACTCAGATTGCTAGGGGCTAACTACGGCCCTGATAAAGAAGGATCTCGTGACCTTGGGTTTCATGTCATAAGCAATATAGGGAGATGGGAAGTTCACCCAGTGTTATGTTGCTGGAGTTATAATGCTCTTGTGACTGAGGTAACTGATATATTAAGAAAAGAAGGGGGGAGAACAGCAGTTGTACAAGTGCCAGTTACTGAAGCTGCAGTGGGACTACATAACCAGCTGTCTGCTGTTTCAATTCCAGACTTTTTTCAAGGATATTAAATGACTAACAGCAAACAAAGAAAAGTAATTCCCCTGCAAAGTACCCATTTTATCCATTTTACACATGGGTAAACTGACTTAAATTGCCCTTACCTATGCAACGTTGTATGGAAGAAAGCCCAGAATAACGGATCTTTGCTTGCTGGTACCAGTCTATGAGCTATTTTGGTTTTGAACATGAATATGTCTTTCTCTCTCTCCCTCCCCGCAAAAGGATGACACTGATCGCGCTTACTTTGCTGTATTTGATGGCCATGGTGGAGTGGATGCTGCCAATTATTCAGCAACCCATTTACATGTAAATGTTGGGCTACACGAAGAGATTGTTAAGAATCCAGCTGAGGCCTTGAAATGCTCTTTCCAGAAGACAGATGAAATGTTTCTTTTCAAAGCCAAAAGAGAGGTGAGTGGGTAGAGATTAATTCCACTGTATTTAAATAACACTGAGAACTGTTGGACAACATGGTATTATCCAGAAAATTCTGGCAGTACAGTTTCTTTAAATCACCGACTTCTTTATGAAATTATGCTACATGTAAAGGTTTTCTTTGATCAAATTATTTCTTTTTTTGAGGAAAAACAAAATGGTAGTGCTTGCAAGTTCAAGATGAGTGATTGAAAAGAAGTGTTAAGTGGTTTAAATGGTCCTGACATACCAATTATTTGAGAGAACACTCTGCTGCCTCTTTGCCTAAATTAGGCAGCCCCTAGATGTTCTGTTGTCCTACCTCTTACCTGGAAAAGAGATTTCTCTATTCCTGATAATATGGTCACTATCTTCCTCTTTCTTGTCCCGCCATTAATATCACAGGTGGTTGTAAGATGAAAAATACATTCTGTGATTTAAATCAGACTCTTCATTAAGCTTATTGATCAGCTTTGTTTCAAGTTGGTATGATGAACATTCTTTCTTCAAATCTACATAATGGGAGGGTGGTTTATTTTACAGTTTAATGAGAACTCTTTTATTATAGCAGTTACTGAATATGGAAGTGTTCATGGTTAATATCTTCATTTCTGTCAATGAGATACAAAAGAGGGACCAGCATCTTTGTGAGGTCTGACTCTCACTAATCTTTACAGGGAATCTAGGACAGTCAGGTTCCTTCCTTTGTTGGCATCCTCATTTAAATACCCAAGGATAAGAGGTTGTATGCGGAGCAAGGTGTCTGTAGTTGCCAGTGGTAGAGTGGAGAGTGTGAAAGGGATTGGGGAGACCTGTGTTTGTTTGTGAAATGTTCATGCTACTGAAATTCAGATCCTCTTTCTTTTCTATGTGTCTCTGTGTTTTGAACAATAGAGATCTTAGTCTCCTAGATCAGTTTTGGAATAAATAGCAGAAAAGGAAGAACATAACAGAGGCAGTATTGGCCATCTGCATGTTAGAATATGTAAACAGTTTATTTCAAGTCTGTCCAATATCTCGTACCTTTTTTCAGGTGCCTGAATTATGATTGGCAGGTCTACTCTGCTGCATTTAACTGTGATTAAACCTAGGTTTACGATATTGCCATGTAGCCTAGTAGGGGTTGTTGAATATTCACCTAACATACCTGTTTTCTTCTGTAGAAGCTGAGGAGTGGTACAACAGGTGTATCTGCATTGATTGTAGGGAACAAGCTACACATAGCATGGCTAGGGGACTCGCAGGTAATGCTTGTGCAGCAAGGAAAAGCTGTGACATTAATGGAACCTCACAAACCAGAAAGAGAAGTAAGTCTGACTTGTTTTTTTTCTCTCGTATGTGTATTGTCAGAATCTCTCTTGAAACCTTTGGAATCAAGCCTTCTTAAGTGTTTGGTGCTTTACATAATTACATATATTGTACGATAGGATTCAGAGAATTGACAATTTCTTTTTTTCCATCCATGCCTGTGTTTTGAAAAGGTGATCCCTACAACTATGCCCCCTTGAAAGTACTGATGGTACTGGTAGTCCTGACTTCAGTTCCCACTCAGACTGTCTTTTCAAAATTTGTAGTAATTAAAGACTTTCACAGAATTTTTTTGTGTGTGTGAATTAAAAACTGCCTGTTACAAATTAACTTATTAATTTGAGATTAACAACTATTTAAAATGTTAGTAGAATGCAAGTGTTTCATAATGCTATACTGTCATTCAAAAGCTAATGATAATCTACTAGCCTAACTGGCTTAAAGTGTATTGCATTTTCTATATATTTTAAATAGCCAGGTATTTTATTACATGAAATTTGATGGGGATCTTGCAAGTTTAGATAGCATTGCACGACCCTTTGCCTTCATAGCATGAATATTTGTAATAACTGAGTAGTTAAAGGATTGTCAATGTGAATACTATTGTTAAATAGTCTAGTTATCTTGTATTTTATTCCAAATATTTATATATTTACCCAATTGCTGTATGGGATGGGAAGAAGTGGCACAAAAGGATACTCATCCGTATGGGAAAAAACATGCAGATATGAAAAACTTAAGAATTCTGCTTTTTTTGTGGACAAGCCATGGTATGGTTGGGAAGTAGGAGGGTTGTTTCCAGTAATCTTAAGTGCGTGTTTCCGAGCTAGATTCTGATATGTGTGTTTGCTATGTTCATAGTATAAATACAGAAGCTGAAGCAGCTCTTGGTTTTGGGGTTTGTCTTTTTTTTCCTCTTCAATTGGATAACAACAAGGTCAGTAAGCCATGGGTAGGTTTTCAGCATAAAAATTGTATTCTACTGTTTTTCAGGATGAAAGAGCGCGTATTGAGACTCTGGGTGGTTGTGTAACCTATATGGACTGCTGGCGGGTTAATGGTACCTTGGCTGTTTCCAGAGCAATTGGTAAGATAAGCCATTAGAATTAGTATTGTTCAGATGAAATTTGATTAAAACACACCACCTGAGACTGTATGTTTGCTGTAAATGACGTTTTGCTTAGCATCAACCAAATAGCAAACCACTCTTACTGTCTTTGCCATAAGGCTAGCTTACAGCTGTATAACTTACATAGCTTGCAGCTATATAATCTTACTGGTTTTACCATACGCATAGAATATTGTTTTATTTTACATACTAGCAATGACAGTCCTAATTCTTTTATACTTCGAAGTCTTTTGCTTCTTGTAAGTGTCTTTGATACCATGGTGTTCTATAGTAGCTTAAAAAACATAAAGTATTTACTTTTTAAAAGTGGAGGAAGTAATAAATGTTCATCTAGCCTTCTTTATATGTGTGAATGTCTGCTTTGTGGGTTTTTTTGTCCACTTCAATATTAATATATCTTTCTCCTGACTGCAGTTCTTAAGTCAGATCGCTGCATCCTCCTTCAAATCACACATATCCAGCAATTTAGGGGATTTTAATTGTAATATTCCAGAATCTTATTAAATGAGCTTACTTTGCTACTCACCAATTAAGGCAAAAAGAGAAAAGACCCTGGGCAAGTACAGTAGATAACTGTAATGTATGAGTGGAAGCAAATTAGTATAGATTTGTATAATACTATTTGGATCAATAGCAACCCATGTTTAATAAGTATGTCCATATGAAACTGATGAACTAAACACAATGAGCAGATTCTTGTGGCATTGTGCTGTATATCTGGACAGCTAAGAAAAATCTTATTTTCATAGCATTCTGAAGGCTGTACAAGAGAAATACCTGCAAAATGAAGGCCTGACTATCTCCTTGCACAAATATATTTCAGAGAGAAAAAACTTTGAAAGAATTTCCTTAGTTTCCCTGCAAAATTAGGAAAGCATGAATTAGAGTAGCCCCTTAGAAGCCAACTGGATTTACGTAGGTTCCAAGCGTTCTTAGAGAAACAAAGGCCTTCCATGCTTATTCCATAGCTTTTCACTACTCTTGTCCTGCATCAGGTACCTCTGGAATATGATCTGGCTGTCCTTGAGGATGGTAAAAGTAATTGATGGGTGAAGAAGTAGCTGTTTACATTTGAAGTAATAAAGCCTTTGTTTTGATTGTTTGTCTTAGGTGACATATGTCAGAAACCCTACATCTCTGGTGATGCAGATGGAAATTCATTTGAGCTGACTGGTTCTGAAGATTACTTGCTCCTAGCCTGCGATGGATTCTTTGACGCTATCAAGCCATATGAGGTTGTAGACTTGGTCCTAGATCATTTAATGCAAACCAAAGGAGTGGGTCTCAAAGCAGCCGAAAGACTGGTGGCTGCTGCAAAGGAGAATGGATCCAGTGATAACATCACTGTTCTAGTGGTGTTCTTGAGGGATCCTCAGGACATCTTGGCAGACTGTCTCAGAGACCCTAAGAGCCTTGGGGCTGGTGATGATGCTCGGAGCTCACCCTTTAATTTCCTCAGTTGTGAGGCAGCAGCCACACAGTGACAAAATCTGCTTAATCCAGAACATTCAAATAAGTTCACATAAGGAACTGCTTTCCACTGAAGAAGCCTCTAATGCAATAGGTGAAACATGTCAGGAGAAAAATGACAAATGGACAAACATTTAACAGAAAGGCAAGACTCCTTTTACTGAGTTCCCATTTGTCTTTTCCTTCCTTCCCCCTCCTTTCAAAAAAAAACACTGAGCAGACGTGGAGATTGTACAGCTATTTTGTCTCTGGGAGCAGACTTCTAAAGTGTGTCCCAGGGCTGCTGGTCATACCCCTCTGCCCTGGAAGTGGTAAGAAAACATAATATGTATAAGCTAATGGGTGAGAATACCCATTTGTGAATTCTGAGTGAAAATTTAAATTAGCGCTTAAAAAGAATGCTGTATGTTATATTTAATTGTGATGTTACTTTGGAGATTGGGAGGAGAGAAGCTGTCACCATCACAGAAAAGCTTGTTACTGCATGTGGTCTGTAGGAACAGGCTTGGTGTGCGAGAGACTGGGTGACACCATTATGCTCTGTAAGTTGCTTTTGTTTTGTACCAAAGATGATATTACAAGAATGATGTGGGCTCTTTATTCAGAGACCGTTAATTTTGTGTGTATGGAAAGGAGAAAATGAAGCTGAATGCTCCAGAAAAAGAGCAAGAAAGCTAACTAGAAATATCCCAGGCAAAATGATACAAAATCAGCTGCTTTGTGGAATGCTCTGGTTTACAAACTGGAATCCAATATTTAACTGCACTGGATTATTTCTCCCTAACAAACACGCTTTATTGGTTATTTGGCAACCTGAAAAGAAAGGACCCTTGTTGTTGTATTTGAGAGACATCTTTACAGTATGTACGCTCTAGCAGTTAAATATGCTCTGTTTCTGCCTCTTTTTTGTGTACTATAACAAATAAGAATTGTATTTTTATTCTAAGTGGGTTTTTTTGTTTATTTACTGAACTTTACAGTTGGAGGAATTTTTTGCAGTGTTACTTTATTTTGTTGTGGTTTTTATTTAAATTAGAATTTTAAAGTGGCTGTGTCTTTATTACCTGGTTTTAAAAACTGACTACCCTCAAGTGCCTTAAATATTTCACCCAAGGATTGCTTGCTTCCTATCATATTCTGGTGAGCCAGTTTATAGTGTTTTTAAAATGTGACTTTTTTATTTCATTAATATTAATGTTTAATGCACTTAAATGTTTCATTTTTGTGAATTATTTTAGTGGGAACTAGGTTTCAAGAAAACATGTCTTTCATTGTTGCCAAATCTTGTGGCTTGTAGTAAAAGCTTCACAATACTTACTGTGACTTACCTCTGCCCCATGCAAAAAGCTTTAGGTAGTTAATCATAAAGTAACAATCTGAGTCATCATGACTTTCATTGAAAAACAAATACGCTTCTGACCTTCACAAGAAAATTTAATAACACAAACTAGAAACAGTTTAGTAACAGGTTTTGATTAATAGATGGTTAATTTGGCCATACTTCATGAACTTTTTGTGTCTAAATAACTTTCTAAGGGGATGTGAAGCTAAGGTGAGGATGAATGAACCTTAACGAATGTGTATGTTTTTGTGCAACTGTTATATCCATTACATGCTAGAGCCTCTGGTTGTGTTTTGTCTTGCCTTGCTAGCCTGGCTAGCAGGACTCAACAAGATCTGAAGGCTCAATGGTAAATGTGTTAGTAATTTCTGTATCTAAACAAGAAGTGCTTTACATCTGGCAGCAAGATTGTATGCCTAATTTAGAAGCACATGGCATTGCAATATGTCAGTCCTGTTGATTAAAATGTGTTGAACTTTAATGTTGCTTAAGGAGGAAGTTTAGGTAGAAGAGTTGAGATGGCTAAAAGGAAGAACAGAGCAGCACTGTTTATGTCCATAGTGTCTCTGAATCGTTAGCTAGTGTGGGGCAATGCAGTTACCCACACAACTTGAGTTTTTTGCTGGATTACTATGGATGATTGTACAGTTTAACATAGAAACTCCTCAGTGAGCTACCATCTCATTACATAGCAACTCGGACAGTGACTTCCTTGTTTTGCTGTGCAACAACAGGAGCTTTTCCTCTGAGAAGGTTGCAAACTCTTTTCCCTCCTACATTTTGCTGTCCTAAAATATGTGGGGAAGGCTTTCTGTGATGGCAACCTGGTAGGGTAGGTGTTAATTTTTGTAGTGAGCCTACTTCAGTTAAGGCTTGCGTAGTAATCCCTTTGGATTTACTATCTCCTATCTCTTTGATTTCTAACCCAGATATTCAGTGTCATGCTAAATTCTGATGACCACTAGTGCCTCTTGGTGTCTTGGAAATAGTTCTCATTAATAATATAGTAAGAATCATACAGAATTGTTTTATTTCACTGCTATCTGAGGTTTATCAGGAGAGGGGGAAGCTATTGTATTCATGAAGGGAGGTGTGAAATGTTGGTAAATTCACAGTACGGTTCAGTTTCTGAAATTTGCCAAATTTCCTGAAACATGGAGGGAATTGAACAAGCCAAATTCTTTGTAATAATCCTTCTATTTCAACCTTTTTGGCGCAGATTTGTGTTACAGAGGAAATAAAGTCTTAAGTCTTTCAATCGATACTTCCAGCTCTGTGAGAATATCCTTTTTTGTTTCAAACTTGATAGTTTGGTGGTTTGTTTTGTTTTGTTTTGTTTTTAAGGGAGCTAAGTGAAATGGGCCTTTAGAAAGCTGTCTGTGGTAATCAAAAATTTAATTCTCAGGCTATGCTCTAGGGAAGAAATTCTGCATTCTGAGAAGCTGTTCCCATATATAAATGTCATTCTGAATGACCTAGTGCCTCATTTCTTTGAGATGGAAGTGGGTAGGAATAGTCTTTGGGAACTCATACAGATTTTAGCAGGGATAAAACATATTTCTCTTACTTTTTAGAGACTTCTTTCTTACTAGCTTTAAAAAGTCTGGTCCCATCTATAGGAGTTGTAACTGGGTCAAAAATGGCAGTTTGTATCCTATCAGTGGAATAAATAAGTCTTAGGGTGTCATCTACAGTAAAATTCCAAATTCTATTTGGGGGGAAAATTGGTTTTGGAGATGTCTTATCTATTCTTGACAGCCTGATCAAAACCTATGGAAACTTCTTTTTTTTTTCTTTTTTAAACTGAAAAAACAACATTAAATTTGATGTTAAATCAGTAATGAAAGTATGACACAGGATGCAAGTATGGATTTTGGAAGTGCACTTTTAAAATTCTATTGAAAATGGTCATCAGGATGGTCTTATCCTTGGGATAGCAAGGCAACCTCCAATTTTTGTTTCGCTTGTGACTTTGATATCACTTTCAGAAGCCACCAGCTATAATGTGTAATACTGTTACAAGAAGTGTCACTAGTATGGGTGGTGAGGAGAGAGGGGAAAGAGCTCTAGCAGAAGGTATGAAGTTGAACTAAATAGTCCAAAATATGGACTGGTGCTATGTTGTGAATTTATAGTACTAATCTGCTACATTAGCTTTTCTTGTCTTTCCTCTTAAAACTTCTTGGATTTCAGGTGTTGGCTGTTCTGTCCTGTTTTCCTTCCCTCTTTTGGGAAGGGTTAAGAATAATGCGTAATTTTGGTGAGAGAATGCTCTTGCCTCTCTGGGCCTTCCCAGCACCATCTATGATATACTAGCACTTGTCCAGCAATGTCAAATGGACTAATGACAAATTGACTAATTTGCCTGTTTCCTTGTTGTCTTTCTGATGGGCTTGCAACAAAACCAATTCTTGAGTCTAGCCAAAATCTTTGAAGCTATAGAAGTTGGCTGCAGGATTCAAGACAAATGTTCAATGAAAAATGAAAGTATTTTCATATTTTACTGGACTCCAAGTGAAATATCTGCTGCTGCATTTTAGCACCCAGCATCAGAAAACTTGCTCCTTAAAGGAGCTTGCATTTTTAAAACCGAGCATGCTTAAATTCTTGTATTGTGCTTGATGGAAAACTAGCTTAGTGGGTATCAAACATCTCTTTTGCTTATGGGTAATTCATACTTCTACCTTTCTTTCCCTTCCCTTCCCTACCCCACCCTCTCCTACAAATAAACATACCTAAGACAGTAAGTCTTCTGGGTATGACATAGACAAGATTACAGTTTTACAAATTACATTTGTTAGGGGGTTGGTTTGGGGTTTTTTTTGAGAATACAGAGGACACAAATGCAGGAAAATTTTTAGAACAGAGGGAGATTAAGTAAAATCCACCCTCTGAGTGATGGAGGAGTGAAAGAGAGAGACAGGAATGCATTTAAGTATTATTAATGCCTATTTTAAAAAGGAAGTGGGCTGGAAAATAGAGCTACAAATGTCAGTTCTTTAGAGTGAAATACCAGTGCTTGAAAGAGTTAGAAACACACCCATTAAAAAGGCAAAACTCAGATGTGGTAACTGTGTCTTCAAACAGCCAAGGAAGGAATCGCAGTAAAAGCATCTGAGGTGACTTACTGTGACCTCTCAACACTGTCTTGGAAGCTAATGCTACTAAATGGGTTTTTCTAAACATCTGTATGTGTAAGGTAGTGCTAAGAGGGAGCATTCAGTATATGCAGTTACTGGTCACAGTGCAACTGCTGCCATGAGTAAATGCCATGAAGTGTGTTAATGAATCGATACGGCTGGTGAGCTCTCATAAGATGAGTAATTGGGCATGGAGTGGTTACAGCAGAGTTGGCAGTTGAATAGTGTTAATCACAGTGATGACTTTAATAACATTTAATAGACACTTATCTGAATGCAAAGTCAGATGAGATACTGCTCTTTTTAAAAGCATTTCCAGTGCTATTAGCTTTCTGTCATGAAAAGCCACTAAAATTTCCATTTTTTTGTTGGATGTTGGGAAAAGTGCTTCTCTTGCTTTCTGAATTCTGGAGGAAAGTTGGCTGTCTGCACTGGAAAACCCATTTTCAGTTGATAGCTTAAAGCAGCTGTTTGGGGTTGAAACTTCACTCCCAGGCAATCCTTGAAAAAGTAACAAAAAAGGTGCTTCCAAAACAAGTGGCTGAGGAACATAGGTATTTCTAAATGGCATTGAACAAAAGGTAACCAGCAAATACCCTCAATCTGTAAAGGGCATAGGCAGTTGAGCTGCTTAAAGTCTAAATTAAGATTGCAGCCTCACTCTTTGTGTAAGTGAGACTGTGTTGGTTAAATCACTCGTATTCTTGTGGATGCAGGTACTTAATGCACAGCACCAGACATGGTCTGTTTCTATTCTTATATTACTGAAGTATCAAGCAAATGCTTTAGGGAGAAGGTGGGGGTATGTTAGCCACAACAGAGCAGATTG